GTAGAGAGTGGGGTGTGAGTTCGGAGTGTGGCGAGATACTGGAACAAACTCTGTTACGATAATTGTATGAGTGGCTCATCATCAGTGACATTTTCGATTGTGATCTTCGCAGGTTCTTTCTTGTGATTGGTTGTTGGGAGTTGTGTCAGAGACTGAGAAACACTGTCTTCTCTCTAGCTGTGCATGATTGTCTTCCGCTGCTTATCTTCATCTGTGTGCAGTCTGGACTCTGTCTCCTCTCTCCCCTTCTCTTATGCATGTATGGGCATGTGTGAGACTGTATGTGTGTGAGTGGCGAGAAAATTCGTCAGAAAACCAAGTTCATAACAGTTGGTATCGGAGCAAGATTGGAATTGGAGCATTGAGGGTTGAGCGCACTGAGGCATCTTCTTCATCCTGGCGATATACTGGCGAGAGTTTCAGGGCGATTCATCTTCCCCAGTACTGAGTCAGCAGGGAAGAAGACTTTCAGCGGTGAATTCAAGTGTTCAGTGGCGGTACTGCACAAGCGCACTGAGCCTGTCAGGGCGCTTGGCAGGAAGTGGCGAGTACAGGGCTAATTCGCCATAGCCAACCCTTAGGGTGATACAACGAATTACCCCAGAGTGGCGAGTTACCCCTGAGGACATCAGGGAACCCTGAGCGGCATCATCCCTGGGTTGGGCTGAGGGAGATTGACGTACTATAGCAATCTCCAGGAAGAATAACCCCATCTGGGGTTATTTTTAGCATCAGCGGCTACCTGACACTGTGGCGAGAGATTTTGGTGTTGGCGAGTTGGGTACCACAGGACCAGATACAGGGTATCTGGAGTAAGGGGGTGCAGCGCTACAGGATCCTGAGGAGGATCAACGATTCTGAAGCAGTTTTGTGCGTGGGATTATCAGGAAGAAGCTCTGGAGGAAATTGGCGAGATAAGAGTTTCATCTTCCATAGCCAGATCTTCATCATCTCCTACAAGATTCGCAGAAAGTGAGTCCGTTCCATGCACCTACCTGTATTGCGATCCTGATAGTAATAGATTAGTGAAAGATAATGGTCTATCTGTCTGCCAGTGACTGGATGTGAAAATCGCAGACTGCATGACAACCATAGCCATCTCTCCCCTGCCTCTCTCTGCTCATATCTCCTCCTCTGTTGACTCTTTCTGGTCCAAAATTGTCCTGTGACTGCTATACTGTATTGTGATTGTCCTGGGATGCTCAAACAGTGAATTCTGTACTGAAAAAGTAGTGATACTGTGAATTATAGTTTTGCGCTGAGTCTATCTTTAGCTTGTGCTATCTAGGGCCAGTCATAACTCTAATTCTGTCCGTCAGAATTCAGTTCTGTCAGTCCCCAGTGAATCGCAAATTGAAAACAGTCGGTACTCTCAAATCGCCGATTTGGATTTTGAGTATTTCACTGGATACAGTGAAAATTGGAATTCGCCATACCCTAGGGTATGACCGCCAGAGTCATCAGGGTCTGAAAGTGAGTTTGAGTCAGGATACAGGGTATCTGTCTGCATCGCGTGTGGTAATTGATCTCTTTTGTCTGCACTAACCACTTCTATCATTCTCACTGATTACACTTGTTTTCTAGTGGGCACTGTAAACTCTAGTGGGTCTTTGGAAAAGTAGTGGAGTGACGGTACTAACTACAGTGTGGTCCAGGGTCAGTAAAAGGAAATCGTGTGACTGATTTTGCTGGACTTACAGTCTGTCTGACACCTGACCCCATAGACACCCCTCTAACCCAAACCGTTGATTGCCTGTACACCCACCTATTCCAGTGTCGAGCTGCTGCAGCGATTCCAGTGTGTCTGCAAGTATCTAAGTATCGCTGCAGCTCTGTCTGCTGTTATTTTATTTTTGGGTTTTATTTGAACTGGGAAAATGTCGGATCAGGGAAATGGGCAGCAGCCACAGGTAGAGGTTGTGGTGAAGGCAGAAGACGAACAGTCATCTACCTCCACTACTCCTCCTCCACCTCTAACTGCTACTCAGAGGCTGAAGAAGGAGGCAGAATAACAGCTCAAGCTGCAACAGGCCAGAGTAGTTGAACTGGCACGGCAGGAGGCTGCTGAGCTAGAGGCTGCAACGGATCACTCCAGAAGGGAGTATCTGTTGCAGCAGCAAGAGAGGTCACTTACTGATGATCGTTGTGCCCAAATCACCAAGCATATGGCTAAGATGATCCTGCTGGAGCACAAGATCACCAGCTCCCAGTTCACAAACTGGGATGACCGTTTTGTGCGGCTGGAGCGTCGGGTTGACGAGCTGTCAGCTCAGCAGTCCAAGATCCTGGATGCTATCCAGGGCTTGCCTGCTCAGCTGGCAGCCGCCAAGCTGATTACTCCTCAGCTCCCTCTGTTGCAACCCAAATCCTCTCCTCCTCCTTCACAACCTCCTTCCTCTCCTCCATCCCATGCAGGATCTGCACATTCCTCCCGGTCATCTACCCCTTCCCAAAAGGCCTCAGTAAAGACCACCTATGCTGCTGTGATTGCAGCAGACAGAGGTCCCAAGATCCCTGCTCCCAACAAGTTCAGGGGCGATGACCCCAAGACTGATGTTGGGGACTGGGCTGCTGGGACCAGAGCCTACTTGAGTAGCTTTGTCTGTGCAGAACAGACCAAGGTGGCAACTGTTTTGGGGCTGCTGGAAGGGCCTGCACTGAAGTGGGCCACCTCAACTTCCAGCAGTCTGCAGCAGTCCATGGAGGACTGGGCCTTTGGATTGGGGGTAGACAGACTTCTGCAGGCCCTGGAGGACCGGTTTGCAGACAAGGAGCGGGCCCGCAAGGCTGATGACAGGATTGCTCGCCTGGGACAGCAGCGGTATAGCGGTACCCTACAGGCCTTGTTTGCTGAGTTCGAGCAGCTCACCTCCACCCCTGGGTTGGTCATGGCACCTGATGATATGTTGACCAGCTTTTGCAGGGCAGCGCCTGAGAAGTTCGTTGTTGCACTYTACAGCGCTGGGTACAAGGACTGGAGGTCCTTTGGTCGTGCAGCCCTGGAAATGGAGGCCAAGCTCCATGTCCAGGCCCCAACCTCTGACAGGAGGAAAGGTGCCTGCCCTAGAGGCAACAGAAGGGGAAAGGCAGCCTTTACTCACGCTGGGTCTGCCTCAGGATCAGATACCGATTCCCAGCCTGATGTGCCTTCAGGTGGGACTGGATCTGCTGTTGAGACAGACGTTGCAGCAGTGGTAACTCAGGCTGTGTTGGGAGCTCTGCAGGCGCAGAAAAAGTACTCCCCCACCACAGCCTCAGCCACTACTAAGGGGAAGGATAAGGGACATCGACCTTCCTCTTCCCAGCGCCCTAACCTGCCTAGAGACGTCCATATGCCATCTGAACCTCTCAACCCCTCCACACTCCCCTGGCATGACCTCAAGATCCAGGAGGGAGTCTGGAGAAGAAGAAAGGAGAGAAGGGTTTGCCTGAGGTGTGAGGGCCAGCACTTCCTGAAGGACTGCCCCTACATGCCAGGCCCAGGCAGTCAGTCAAAAAATTGAAACAAACCCTGGGGGCTGCAGTTCCCTCCAGTGCTGCATCTTCATCTACTCAGGTAGGTGAATCTGCAGTTGTTTCAGTTGAGACTAATAATGATGATGTGTGTTTGGGGACTGCGCGGGCAGCATCCTTCTGCTATGAGGATCCTGACCCGGATCAGGACCCGGGGCAGGATGAGCTTCAGTCTATTGCAGCCTTCTTCTTTCATCTGAAAGAACAGAAGAAGAGCAAGTCTGAACTCATCATGCTCCGGCCACTGATCAACAGCACCAGGATCACTGGGTTGTTGGACTGTGGGGCCACCAGGAACTTCATGTCTCCCAGTGCAGTTAAAAAGTTGCACTTGGGCATGAAAGTTCAGCAGCTGCAGCAACCGTTGCTGGTGCGAATTGGTGACTCTACAGTACTCAGCATCAGGGAGAAGGTCAAGGGCATCCCTGTGACCTTCGATACTGCAGGAAAGGTCAAACACAGTCTGAACTTTTACATTTTCCCTGAGCTGCCCTTTGATTTGGTGTTCTCCATGCAGTGGCTGAGGGCAGTCAACCCTAGGATCGACTGGCAGATTCCTAGAGTTGAACTACCAGACAGCCAGGGGGTGTATCAGCAATGCATGATTGTTGTTGATCACCACCCTAAGACTTCCTGCTACTGCCTGAGAGCGAGGGAGTTCCATGCTCTCTCTCGCCAGTACCACCATGAGCGTCTGTTTATTGCTATGGTCAAGCAAACAGATGCTCCCCTTGTTTCCTGTCCTCCTGAGATACAGCAGGTGGTAGATCAGTATGCTGATCTGATGCAGGAGCCCTTTGGACTTCCCAACCGGCCAACCAAGCATCACATCGAGCTGCTGTCTGGAGCGGTCCCTCCCAAGGGCCGCATCTACAGGATGTCCCCTGCTGAGCTTGAGGAGCTCAGAAAGCAGCTTGAGACCCTGACCAGCAAAGGCTGGATCAGACCCAGCACATCTGAATTCGGTGCACCTGTTCTCTTTGTACCCAAAGGGAACGACGAGTTCAGGATGTGCATTGACTACAGGGGTCTCAACAAGATCACTAGGAAGAGTACTGAGCCACTTCCTAGGATCAAAGACCTCCTGGACATGGTGCAGGGCTGCAAAGTGTTCAACAAAGTCGACCTCAAATCTGGCTACCACCAGATTGAGATGGCTGAGGAGGATGTCTACAAGACAGCCTTCAAGACCAGGTATGGGACTTATGAGTTCCTGGTCATGCCATTTGGACTTTGCAATGCCCCCGACACTTTCCAGACAGAGATGCACCGCATCTTCAGGCCTTACCTGGACAAGTTTATGGTTGTCTACCTGGATGATATCCTGATATTCAACAAAACTGCCAGGGAACATGCGGAGCACTTGGCTCTTGTCCTTCAGTCGTTACGTGACAGCCAGTACAAGATCAACAGAGATAAATCCTATTTTGGAGTTCCCTCTATCATCTACCTGGGTCATGTAATCTATGGAGATGGCCTGGCTCCTGAAGCAGCCAAGATTGTTGTTATTCAGGAGTGGCCTCAACCTCAGACAGTGAGGGATGTCCGATCTTTCATGGGTTTGGCCTCTTACTACAGAAAGTTTGTCAGGAACTTTTCTGCAGTGGTTGCACCCCTGACTAACCTAACAAAGAAGGACACTCCCTTTCTTTGGTCCCTCCACAGTCAGTTGGCCTTCACACGACTCAAGAAGGCCTTGACTCGTGCGCCTGTACTGAAGTTACCTAACCCCACTCTGCCATTTATCCTGACCACAGACGCCAGTCAGTATGGCATTGGGGCAGTTCTTCAGCAGGATGATGGGAATGGTCTACGGCCTGTAGAGTTTATGAGTAAGAAGATCAAGACCCAAAAGCTCCAGGACTCCACCTACGAGAAAGAGCTTTATGCTCTTGTCTGTGCCCTGAAACATTGGAAGCACTTCCTCCTGGGCAGGCACTTCAAGATCTTTTCAGATCACTCCACTCTACATTGGATGAAGTCCCCGGGAGAGTTGAACGATAAGCTGGCACGGTACATTCAGTTCATCGACATGTTCGACTTTGAACTGAAACATAAGAAGGGCTGCTACAACAAGGTAGCAGATGCCCTCTCTCGTAGGCGTGACTCTTTTGCTCTGATCTCCTCTACTCACTCCTTTGGAGAGGAGACCCGTCAGACCATTGCTCGTCCACTGCCTCAGGACGAGACTTTTGGACCCATTGTCAGGAATCTGCAAACAGATCCTAACTCTGAACCGGGCTATGCCCTGAGTTCAAACCTGCTGTATACCTGCAGCAAAGGTGAGGAGCGCTTGTGCATTCCTCAGGACCAGCGGCTCAGGACACTGCTGATGTCAGAGTGTCATGATGCCCGTGGACATTTTGGGTTCCTAAAGTCTTATGCAGCCCTGTCGCGACGCTTCTTCTGGAAGGAGATGCGGAGTGAGATGCTGCGTTATGTGGATGCCTGTGAGCTCTGCCAAAGGAACAAGGTTCAGCGTAAACCTCCTTTGGGACTGCTCAAACCATTACCCATACCTGATGGCCCTGCTGAATCTGTGTCGATAGACTTCACAGATTTAGGCAAGACCACCCCCCGTGGCATGCGTCAGGTTATGGTCTGCGTGGACAGGTTCTCCAAATACGTAGAGTTCATCCTCTTGCCGGAGGTAGCTAGGGTACCGGCTGTGAGAGCAGCCTTCTCTGAGAGGTGGGTCACACACCATGGACCGCCCACTTCTATTGTCAGTGATCGAGACCCCAGGTTCTGCACTGATGAGTGGCAGTCCTACTGTAAGGACTATCTGCACTCACGACTGGACATGACTTATGGTCACCATCCTGAAGCCAATGGTTTGGCTAAAGTGATGAACCAAGTCTTATTCCAGTTGCTGCGTCTTGTCATCTCTCCAGATCAGCAGGACTGGGATCTTCACTTAGCGAGGGCACAGCTCATGTATAACATGTGTGTCCACTCCTCAGGGTTCAGTCCCTACCGGTTACACTGGGGACGTAAACCACGACAGCCTCTCGATGATATCATCGATAAGGCTAAGTCTGATATGACACTAGGCACAACAGAGTTCACCAGACGCTATCGTCTAGATGTGGAAAGAGCCTGCGCGAACTTGTTCAAAGCCCAAAAGGCTATGATTGAACAAGCCAATCGCCACAGGTGGCCTTCCCCCATCCGCACTGGTGACCATGTGTGGGTGGCCAGCTCTGAGATGTCGAGGGAGGAGAGGATATCTCTCCCAAGCTGTTGCCACGTTACCTGGGTCCATGGCAGGTCCTAGATACAGTGGGCGTCGATCCTTTCGGTCCGTCGTATGCCATCGACGTCCCGCTGCATCTACGCACGTACCCGGTCTTCCATGCATCCAAGCTGCTGCCTTTTACGCCAGCTGATGCATTCCCAGACCGGCTCCCTCAATTCGGTCCACCGATCCCTGGCAAGGGATATGACGTGGAATGGATTGAGGACGAGTGGGGCACACGCCCCGGCCGGCAGTATCTTGTCAGGTTTGCTTTTCAGCCCCTTTCTGAGAACCGATGGTTCTACAGAACAGACCATCTCAAGACAGCAAAGACAGTTGTACTGCGATATGAAGCGGCTCAGAAGGGCAACCTTCCTCACCGTTCACCTCGCCTACACCCCTAGCTCGGAGGTCCTCGCTCTCGGGGAGGGTAAGCCTGCAATGACTTGCTGATTTCTACTGCCTGCGAGGCTGTACACTAACCGGTAGGGTTAGATTCGTAATTTTGTTTGGCTGAGGGCTAACCGAGAGA